AGCCCCTAAGGCAGTCCATGCATGCAGTGTATTTGATGGTGGGAACACTGGACTAGGGCTATCAGCCTGACTTCTAGAGAGGCTGGGTATAGCTGAAGTTTTCCTGTGTCCCACCCAGTCCATAGCCACTCAGACCCAAGTAAACACACAGAGGGTTATATTAATTAAAACTGCTTGGCCATTAGCTCAGGCCTACCACTGACTAGTTCTTACACTTAAACTCAGCCCATTTGTGTTAATCTATATGTCTCCACGTTTTCTGTGGCTTTACCTGTGTGTCATTACATACTGCTCCCTGGATGGCAGGCTGGAGTCTCCTGACTCAGCCTTCCTCTTCCCAGAATTTTCCCCATCTGCTTGTTTCACCTATACTTCCTGCTTGCCTACTGGCCAATCAGTGTTTAATTTATCAACCAATCAGAGCAAAACATATTCACAGCATACAAAACATCCCACAGCGGCTGGGTATGAGGATCAAACATTTGAGTAGTCAGTGACAAGGTGTGGGTGACCCCAGAAGAATCCTGGGCATTAGGACATGGCTGGTGTCCTGCTTGGCCACCCTCCATGCATGTTGACACCATCATGAGACAGACAAGCACTGCCCTTGCTCTATAGGCTGAGGATAGAAAGCAGCCATCCCCCATGTCTGAGATGTCGCCCTACATGCTTATTCCTTTGTTGATTTTATTCTTTACCTTTAGCTGAAATCAACTGAAACTGTGAGCAAAGCAGCTTTGTGGAGTTCTCTAAATCATTCAAGGGGGACTTATGGGCCCCTAGAGGCTACTGATCTGAAGTAGTATATAAGATGTCTTCAAAATAACATAATAAAAGAAAATTCCCCTAAGTCTGCAGAATACATGAACATTTGTGTTCCATGGAAGGTTTATTTGAATAAAAAAAATCTACATGGTGAGCCGTGCTGGAGAGATGGCTTAACAATTAAGAATAATCTCTTTCAGAGGACCCAAGGTGGATTCTAAGCACCTACATCAGTTTGCTCACATCTGCCTGTAACTCCAGCTCTGGGCTATCTGATCCCTCTTCAGGGCTCCGCAGACACTGCACTCACATGCACACACACACACACACACACACACACACACACACACACAGAGAGAGAGAGAGAGAGAGAGAGAGAGAGAGAGAGAGAGAGAGAGAGAGAGAGAAATAGGTGAAAATAAAAATACATCTTAAAAATCTACATGAAAACATGTCATTAAAAGGTTATTGGCCATCAAACATAATGAGAGCAAAGAAATCTTTACTCATCCAGGGGAAATGCAATTCACTTATGAGGGAAAATGCTGATATTAAATTCTAAGGGATAATATAAAACCATATAAAATCTAAAGAAAAATTACATTATTGATTTTCTTTAAGTAAAAGACAGGAATTCTTAATCAAGGAAACAATTTGGGGACAGAGCACCCACAAGCCTTCACCACAGTAATACCATGGTCAGATCTATGCAAGCAAAAAATAAACCAAAATAAAGATCTCTGGAAAAGACATGCTAAACAAAAGTGGTGAGAACTAAGAGTTGGGTTCATGTTAGTGCAGAGCCATGCTTGAACAAACAGTAATAGGTACCCTGTGAACAGACAAGGGATGATGGCATGGTGGTTTGAAAGAAAATGGCCCCAAAGGGAGTGGCACTATTAGGAGGTGTGGCTTTGTTGGAGGAAGTGTGTCACTGTGTGGGTGGGCTTGAAGTCTCTTGCTTAAGCCTACTTCAGTGTGACATCTTGTCTGCAAGATGAAGCCAGCACCACATCTGCCTACAGGCAGCCTTGCTCCTTGTCATGATGATAATAGACTGAACCTCTGAAACTGTAAGCAAGCCGTCTCTATTAAATGTTTCATTGGTAAGAGCTGCCCTGGTCATGGTGTCTCTTCATAACAAGAGAAAACCCTAAATAAGACAGATAGGTACCCTGTGAACAGATAGTGGCTGATGGGTACCCTGTGAACAGACAAGTGTTGTAGAATATTATTTTAACTATGGAAAGATGTGTTACATTGGTTTATGCTGCAGAATATTACTTTAACTGTATGAAGGTGTGTTACACTTGTTTATGCTGCTTTTATTAATGATGTAAAGATGTGTTATGTTTGTTTATGCTGCATTTGTTTAATTATGTAAAGATGTGTGGCATTTGTTTCACCTTGCCTGCCTAAGGCACCTGATTGGTCTAATAAATAGCTGAACAGCTAATAGCTAGCCAAGAAAGAGATAGGCAGGGCTGGCAGGAGAGAGAATAAGTAGGAGGATGAATCTAGGCTTGAGAGAAAAGCAGGAGGAGAGAATGAGGGAGAAAGAGAGGGTCATGCCTGGGGCCAGAAGCCAGGGAGCTGCCAGTCATGGAAACAGCAGGAAAGTAAGATACAAATGAAAGAGAGAGAGAGAGAGAGACAGAGAGAGAGAGAGAGAGAGAGACAGAGAGAGAGAGAGAGACAGAGGAAGGGAGGAAGGGAGGAAGGAAGGAAGGAAGGAAAGAAGGAAAGGAAGGAAGGAAGGAAGGAAGGAAGGAAGGAAGGAAGGAAGGAAGGAAGGAAGAAAAGAAAGAAAGGAAGGAAAGAAAGAAAGGTAGGCGAAAAGCCCTGAGGCAAAACATAGATAAAGAGAAACAAATTAAAATAAGAGCTAAGCTAAGGCCATGGGTTCAAAACTAGTAAGTCTCCATGTCATGATTTGGGAGCTGGTTGGTGGGTCAAAAGACAAAGCCTGGTACAGACAAGGGTGATGGGTACCCTGTGAACAGACAAGGGATGATGGGTACAGAGCAGGGTACCACTGTCACTGCTTTAACTAAATGAAAGTAAAAAAAAAATGGAAGGATGTAATTAGGAAGGAGATGTGACAGAGAAGAAAATATAATGTGCTTCTCCGACTTTTAACAGCAGAGAGCTAAGTGACACTATCTCTTCCTTTTCTCCTCCTCCTCCATCTTCTTCCTCTCCTCCTCCTCCTTATTCTTACTCTTCTCCTTCTTTTCAAAAATGGACCTAATCCCAAAACATTATTACTTCCACCTCTGATGCTTCATAATGGTTTTCTTTAAAAACAAATCTATGTGATTGAGCTAATACTAAAGATAGCTCTAACATCTATGACTCACCAGTCCTGGTACATACATCTCTAAGTGTTTTATGGTATCACTTACTAATCCTCAGGACATCTTTTACCTTACAGGTCACAATGACAAAGCACAGAAATTCAAAGTGATGTGTTCATATCTCTAAAGAGAGTTTAAATGATGAGTCCTAGTAGTATTTTGTTCATATACAGGACCAGCTTTATGTTGAGACTTCATTTATCTCCCTCTGTTAATGAAACTAATCAACTCCATTTTATATGGAAAAAAAGACTCTGTGTGGCCTAATCTCATATTTATAAAAATGATTTCTTTTAACTAGCTGCTCTTCTGATGATTTATATGCACAGGGATTTTCTGAGGGTTCAAACTGAGGGCTGGTGTCATGTTTTATACACTACATTTTTCTATGTTGTTTTAATGTCTGTAATTAGTGCTTGAAGTAGTCTGTGAAGGCATGGCTTCAAATTTTTCAAAGGAATCTAGTCCTCTTGGAGACTTATGAATGAGCAGCTATTTAAACCACTTTTGCTAATCAAGCTGAACCAATGGAGCTGGAGAGGTGGCTCAGTGGTTAAGAGTTCTCCTTGCTTTTCTAGAGGACCCAAGTTTGATTCTGAGCACTTAGGTCCGGCAGTTTATAACCATCTGTAACTGCAGCTCCAGGGATGCTACACTTCTGCCCTTCTCAGGTTCCTGCACTGATGTGCACATACCAAGATGCAGACACACATCTACACATAAATTTTAAGAAATAACTCTTTGAAAATACTTTTAAAGATGTATGAGTAGGGACATTTGTTTCTGTAAAAAGACACAATTAGCAATATAGTACAAAATGCACTGAACGATGTAAAATGATGTGTATTGTGTGGGGAGTTATTTTGAGTCAGACAGAAAGACATAAAACTCCATTTTCCCAAGATATTAACAATTTCTTTGAATGTTATATAGATTATTTTATTTTATTTATGATTGTTTCCAGTGTTGATTCATTGTCATCCATAACTATATTATTGATATGGTTAAAACTTGTATATTCTTTCTAAATGGAGATGGAGGAGGAGTGGATGGGGAAGAGGGCAGATGGGTGATGAGGGGGAGGAAATGGGAGGAGGAGAGGGAGGGAAAACTGTAGTCAGTGTGTAAAATAAGTGAAAATAATTAAATAAAATAAGTAAATTTTAAAGACTTTGTTCATTTGGAGACTGATGATGGTAAAGATATGTTTGTGTCTGTCCCTTAGAGAGGTTCCCTGACAACTCTTGATGTTAGGTGTTGTGTGGGTGTTTGGGGCTAATGTTAAGCATCATGTGGGTGTTTGGGCTTTTTTCACTACCTTTTTCCTTTGTTGATGATTGCCTAAAGCCTGGTTCCGGAAAATCTCTTGAGATTGAAGAAAATAGGGCTTTTGATATGGACTCATTTTGCCTGAAAGGCAAAAAAAAATGTTGAAGGAGAAGAAAGGAATTGATTACATGCTGACCTGTGGCAGCTCAGGTGGGTGGATTTGCCCAGCTGCAGGAACATTTCCCTTCTGGGAAGGGCCTGCCTCAGGAACACCGTGTTCCCGCCCCTTCTCTAAACCCAGAACTTACTGCTCCATGTGGCCTGCAGAGTTTATTAAAAATGTAGTCATGTCCCCGCCCCCCTTGTAAATATACACTGTTATTGAGAACTTGGGGGATCCTTATGTGGATTGAAGCATTACTATAGCTGCTTAGAGAACGTTTCATTTCTCCTCCACCTCCTGACCCCCCCAGTTGGTCAAATGAGTAAGTGAATAGAACTTTGAGGGCCCCAGACTGCCCACTGTGGAAGACCCTTCAGTTCACCCTGGAGCACTGTGAGGCTTAGCAGGAGCCTCTAGAAAGAACTAACCTACACTTCTCACCATAGGCCACACCCTCCACAGTCAGGAAGGATGAAGTGATGGATGCTGATGCTTAGCTTGCTGTCTCCTTTGTATTCAGTCCAGGACCCCAGTCCAAGGAATGGTGCCTCCCACAGATAAAGTGAGTTCCAGCTTCAATTAACCTAATCTAGAGAAACCTTCATGGGTATGCCCAAAGGTTTGTCTCCTAGACAATTCCAGATCCTGTTGAGCTGGTTGATAATGGTAACCATTATATATGCATGCGTATCCCATGACATCCTTCTGCAAACCTCAACTAGAAATAATAAACATATAAATTTGCTTCATTGTGACCATGTGACTTAGATGTCCTTGAATTGCCTCTTCAGTATGCTGGCTTCCAAATAATTCTTCTTCTTCTTCTTCTTCTTCTTCTTCTTCTTCTTCTTCTTCTTCTTCTTCTTCTTCTTCTTCTTCTTCTTCTTCTTCCTCTTCCTCTTCCTCTTCCTCTTCCTCTTCCTCTTCCTCTTCCTCTTCCTCTTCCTCTTCCTCCTCCTCCTCCTCCTCCTCCTCCTCTTCCTTCTCCTCTTCCTTCTTCTTTTCAAGGTTGAGATTAAACTCAGGGCCTTGAGCATTTCAGAGTGTTCCACTAAGCTTAGTTTTCCAAGCTTCATGTATTTGAAACACAGTACAGTCCAGGTGAAATTGCCTTGAATAAAAAAAAAAATCTCAGCTGATAATCGTGTGTGTGTGTGTGTGTGTGTGTGTGTGTGTGTGTGTGTGTGTGTGTGTGTTACTGTTGTTATTGTTGCATTAAAGGCAAAAGCTTAAAAGAACCCATAACTAGGATGTAAAGAAAAGCTTCAATTGTTCTTTTAGTTATAATAATGATGAAATTTAAAACCGAAGTGAATTATTAAAGTGAACTGAAAATAAGCACATTATTATCATTAAAGAACAAAACAAAAAAGTAGTGTTCTGTTAATTCAAGGGCTCAGACGTCTTTAACGAGGAATGTAGAACTAGAGAACACTGATGCAATTATGTAATTCTACCAAATTACCAAATTTACCAGGAATTAAAGTTCATAGACATTTAGTTAATAAGATATGTGCTCTCTCAAGTTGCACCTACAACATGCCATTAATAATTCAATTTCCCTAGTTACTGCAGATAACAAGAATGTTTTCCATTTCTGTTGAGGATTTAATGCCTTCACCTGTTTTTACAAATGAAAACCTGAATTCCACACAACACTCTGGCTCTCTGGCTCTGTCTCTCTGTCTCTGTCTCTGTCTCTGTCTCTGTCTCTGTCTCTCTCTCTCTCTCTCTCTCTCTCTCTCTCTCTCTCTCTCTTTCTCTCGACTGGTGATTGATTATGGGATATAAACTCTAGAATATTCATCTGGAAAGCAGACTGTGCCCTAGATAGCTTATTTTAAAACTTAAAAGTGTTAGGCTGAAGTAAAATTAAAAGTTAAAAGTTGAAAGCACATGCCTGTAATCCCCACATTTGTGAAGCAGGTACAAGGAAATCAGGAATTCAAGACTATCCTCAGCTATATAGTAAGTTAGAGACCAGCTTGGGCTACATGATATGCTGTCTCAAAATAAAATCAAGAAAACAAAAATTAAAAAGATTATAATTGAAAAGGTTATTCAAATCTCCAACTACTTAAAAATGATGTGAGCATTCAGAGATTCCAGTGGTATTTCAATTTAAGTGCTGAATTTCAGTTAAATGAAAAATCTAATTTTTACCTTTGGAGAAAGAGGGTAGAAATTGGCCAAGAAAGGAATGAGAGTACTTCCTTTGGGGTTAGCAAAATTGAAGGTGATGGGGGGTGTGTTGATTTGAATAAGAATGGCCCCCATAGGCTCACAGATTTGAATGCTTCGTTATGGGAGTGTCACTATTAGGAGGTGTAGCCTTGTAGAAGTGGGTGTGTCTTTGTTGGAGAAAGTATGTAACTGAGGGTGGGCTTTGAGGTTTCAAAAGCCCAAGCCAGGCCCAGTGGCTCTCTCTCTTCCTGCTGCCTGTGGATCCAGTTGTAGAACACTCTGCTACCTCTCCAACAACATGTCTGCCTGTGTGTTGCCATACTTCCCATCGTGACAATAATAGACTAAACCTCCAAAATTATAAGCTAGCCCCAATTAAACTTTAGCTTTCCTTTAAAAAAGTTGCCATAGTCATTGTGTCTTCACAGCAATAGAACTTTGACTAAGATAGGAGGAATGGTAGGAATACATGATACCTTAAGTGTGGGAAAGTATCCCTGATAGAATCTGGGTATATATTCAATGTTTGCTATCATTTTTAAACTTTTCTGTATGCATAAAGTTTCCAGTTTGTTATAAAATATCATATATAAAGTATTACTTTATATTAAGAAAATATAATAAAGTATGGAGAAGTGTCAATTATTTTAAATGCAGTTAAAACTCAGTATCTGGTAGAAGGCCCATGTCTAGACATACATATCACCCATGTCTGCTGCAGAAACAGTCTGCTGAAATATCACACCCAAAGAAGACAGAGAGGCTTTGGGAAGTTCAGTGCCTGTTTCTTGAAAACTTTCTGATGAATCTAACTTCTGTACATCCAACCTTACTAAGACAGTTGGCTTATTTCCTCTGGCTATTTAAGAAGTAAATTTTGTGTTTAGGATAACTGATTGTTAGTGAATTCTTTTATAACCATAAAAACAAATAAATATTTCATATTTTAAAAATATGTTTATTTTTATTTATAGGTACATGGGTGTTGGAAGTACCAGTAGAGGCCAGAAGAGGGTATCAGATCCCTTGGACCTGAAGTTATAGGTAGTTGTAAGCTACCCCACAAGGGTGTGGAGGACTGAAGTCTGGTCCTCTTGAAGAACAAGTACTCTTAAGCAATGAGCCATCTTTCCAGCCCAAACTGAACATTTCTAAGTTGTTTCATTTTCAAATTATCACAGCTACTTAATTTTTTTTCATGTTTCCTTTGTGAACACAAAGTCAAGCTCGCTTACTTTGCAAGTCTGATGCGAAGGGAACACCACCTACTCCCTTTCCAGGCCACAAGTAGCACTGTCTGACGGCTTCCATCCAGATGTGTGAATGCACCTGTTTCCTCTGTTCTACTTGCCTTTTGATATCACAACTGTTGCTCAGCGCTAACCTCCATGCAGGACAAGCTGAGTCTTCAGGAGTTCAGCTGGGCCTGGCTACAAAAGACCATCACAGCTGGACTTGTGGATGGTGGACATTCTTTTCTAGGCAAAGCAGGTATCATCATAGAACCCTCACCTGAGTCTCCGGTCACTCCTCCCAGCCAGTTGTATGCAATTATGCCCTAATTGCCTTGGCCTCAGGAAGGGATTAGAGTATATAGGCTGGGGGAAGATGGGAGAGAATCTCCGTCTGCATAGCCACAGGGAAGTGATCCAGGTGCAGACCTCCTAGTGCCACTATTTTGGGGTCACCCACGCTCTGTCAGTCACCCTAATCAACCCACTGGTTCCCCAGTGGGAACTTTGGGGAAATAGAACCTTGGTTTGTCATGGGCCTTTGGAGGGGAGTAGAATTACCTTGTCCCAGTCTAGATGAAAACCCTCTCAACAGCTCAGGAAGACAAGGCTGGGGAAAATAAAATCCTCCAGCAATCCAACTGTTACTCTCAAAGGACAGTTTCCCACCCTGGATGGTTGGTAAACAACTTTCAGTCCTGCTGTCCACACACCATGTGAACTGAATGACACCAGGATGGGGGTGTGCGCCATGCTTTCTCTCCCTGGAACCCAGGAGCTGCTAGGAAATGCACCGTGGCGCTCTTTCTCATATGGCATAGGATGGAGGTAAGTTCTACTTGTCTGTCTGTTGAAACTACCAAAGCCTATTAACAATGCTGTGCTAATATTTTTGTGTCGCTCAAGGCCTTTGCTGATTTTCATCACCGGTCTGCCTGCATTTATGTCACTAAGCATTGAGGTCTAATCCTTTTAATAACTCATTCTCATATTTACTCTCTGGGGGATAGTTTTTCATTGGGGAACCCAAGCTTCTATGTGGAATTCTTATACTGAATTATTGAGTCATATTTGTGAGAGATGTGTTCATTATGATTCAATGCTTTTTTATCCTATGAGAGATATCCAGGTTATTAGTGTAACAAAAAGCCAAGACTAATAGAAGCTGCTGGATGGCTGCCATGAATTCAAAGAGACAGAATCCACAGAAGTGTGGAGGAAGGTGATGGACCCTAGAGCCTAAAAGAAATGGAAGAACTGAAAGTACTGAGGGTCTGTGAATGTGAGGTGTCAGGGAAGAGTGGTAGGCAGAGCAGGAGGCAGAAGGTGAGTGAAACAGCTTCACTGTGTCCTCTGCTGTCACTGTGGAGCAGAAACAGTTCCAGCCCAGGACCAAGTAGAGCTGGCAACTCCTAGTGGCCCATCAAATGTTGTCTTAGGGTTTCTACTGCAGTGACAAAACACCATGACCAAAGCAACTTGGGGAGGGAAGGGTTTCTTTGGCTTACACTTCCATAGCACTGTTCATCATTGAAGGAAGTCAAGGCAGGACCTCAAACAGGGCAGGAGTGCAGAGGCCATGGAGGGGTACTGCTTACTGGCTTACTCAGTCTGCTTTCTCATGGAACCGAGGACTACCAGCTCAGGGATGGCACCACCCACAGTGGGCTGGGCCCCCAATCACTAATTAAGAGAATGCCTTGCAGACTTGCATACAGCCCTATTTTATGGAGGCATTTTGTTAATTGGGTTCCCTCCTCTTAGATGACTTTAGCTTGTGTCAAGTTGACATAAAACTATGCAGCACAAATGTGTTGACTTGGGAAATTGAGTCAGTAGTTCACAACAAAAGGAAGCTGTGCCTGCAGGGGTATTTTAATGATGGTGAGGAACCTCAGTGGCTGCTAGGGTCCTGAGTTTGCAGGACTGTGGTGGCAAAATACACAGTAGGTACTGGGCAGTGGGAGTTAATCCTGTGGATAATTATAGGCTCCCACCTGATGAGACCACAGTGCGAATGCAGCTGTGATCGTCCGCCTGGTTTCCTCCTCACTCCCAGCACAGCTTCCCTTTGATCTAGCTCCATGGGTCCTTCCTCCATGAGAGAATCACAAACAGGTCTGCAGAGTGCACTTGCATATGGGTGTGCATTTAATATAGGAGAAAAGGTCTAGAGTTCAGAGGGGCCTGCGAGGTAGCTCAGTGACTTAATGTGCTTGCTACTAAGCCTAGTGATCTGAATTTCTTTCTCTGGAACCCACATGTTGGACAGAACTGATTCTCAAAAGGTATCCTATATGTGTGTACCCATACATGCATCTATATGCACATAAATAAATGTGAACTTTTTCTATCATTATGTTCTACTCTCCTGCTTTTTCATGTGTGGGATGTAAGTATGTATATTCTACATGTATATGGATACACGTGGAGGCCTGAAATTGATGCCAGCAGTCATCCCTGACTAAGACAGAAGATCCCTGGAGTAAGCGGGATGGCAAGACTAGCCACGCTGGAAAAGTTTGCACATGATTGAGAGACCCCAACTCAAGGAAGAGAGAGGGTGGAAGAGTGATCAGGGATGATTCCTGACATCGACCTCAGGCCTCCACATGTGCCCACATACATGCAGTATATACATCCTCACACCCCACCCATGAAAGTAAGAAAAACAAATAAACAAATAGGATCCTGTCACCATGGTGAGAGTAGAAACCCACCCCCTGGAGGTGAGCAGCTCGGTTTAGGGAGGAGCTGAAAAGGGAGGTGACCTAAGCTTTTTCAAGAAGTTTAGTTGATGAAAAGTCAGCCAGGAGAGCTGGGAGTTAGTCAAGTCACTTCTGCATAAGCCATCATATTTGCAAGGTCCCAAATGTCAAATGTGTCACCTGACCATAACTATCCAAGCCATCCCTTGACCTTGGATCGTCCACATTTGCCCGGGTGAAGGGATAGAGTCGGTAGCAGGAGCTTTAAGGATAGACGGAGCTAGCGAATAGATGTGGGTGGTTAAGCAACTGTCTAGTGAGGCTGATGGGAATAGATGGGCAAGCCATGTGTGCACATTAAGAGTTCTGAAGTCAGCACTCCCATAAAGCTGCGTCATTAGGCTGATGGCCTTGCTTCTGTACTGAGGCATTTCCTATGGTGTCCCATGAAAACCAAAGAGGAAAGTAAATAAAAGACAGGTGTTGCCAAAAGGCTTGTTAGCCCTCACCAGATTTCTGCTATTTTACTGCCTCATTTCCTCGGACCACCTCCCTCCTTACCTGGAGTATTCATGCACTGCCCAGTTTTGCTACATTGATTTGAAGAAGGATTACAGAGGTTTCCCCTCAAACTGATATTCAGTGGTAAGGTGTGGTCTCTGCTTCAGCCTACTCTTTCTTACTCACATGCATGGCAAATATCTAGGGAAAATAATTAAATGTTAGCATCTGCCAGGCATGGTGGTGCACACCCACAGTCCCAACTACTTTGGAAGCTAAGGCAGGGGTATCACTAGTGCAGAGGAGCTCAGGGAAAGCCTGAGCAATATTGTGAGGTGATATCTCAGATAAAGTTCTAAGAAACCAGTCCCATTAGACTGATATTAGCTTTCATCGTAAATTTTGAAATATTTTTGAGTGTTGTGAGAGTGCTGGGCTATTGGATATAAAATTTATGACCTATCACCCTGAAAAGAAGGCTAAGACTATGAAAAGGGCTAGGTGGACTTAAAATCCCTGTGAGGTGGGCAAAGACATGTTCTCCTCTGTTCCCTACTCTGAGCAATAGCAGAATGAATGTGAATTCTAAAGACTGTGTTTGATGTCTAGCTCAGTCCTGCTTGATCATTCCTGTGGCTACTATGGGGCATGCTGGGAACTGGGGGCTGGGCCTTTCCTTCTGTAAGCATGGGGAGATTCTTGGTGCCTTGCTTCTGTGTCTGCATCTGCTCTTTTCATGCTCTGCACACCCTCTTATTTCACTGAACATTCTCCACACGTCCACTTTAGCTGAAGACTCACCTTTGTCACATGTCTGGAACTGACTAGGGAGGAGTTGATTGATTTCTCAGTGGCCTAGTTCCTGCCACTGCAGGGGTCTCAGAATGGGCATGTGGCAACTCTTGAGGGCCATGCTGTGTTAGTTGACTGAGCAATTCATGGAAATCAGTATGCCCAAGCCACATCTGCCCACACATGTTCACTGCAGCATTATCTACAAGAACCAGGACAGGGAAGCATCATCAAATAAGTAGGTAAAGGAAATCTAACACTCACAAACACAATTCAGCTTTGAAAGGAGATGGTCCTCTCAGCTGAGATGGCTTGAGTCAATGTGAAGGGTATTATGTTGTCTCATAAGCCAGGAACCCAAGCAAATACTGTGCGAACAAACTTATATGCAGAACCTAAGAGGTTAATTATAAGGACTAGAGACCAAGGACAGGGAAGGACTTGGAAAGGATAGAAACAAAGGGTGTAGAATAAGTTCCGAGACTGTTGCACCCTGAGGTCACAAGAATCAATGCCACTGTAAGGGCTGGGAGTGTTGCTCAGTGGTAAAATGCTTACCATGTATGCAAAAGACCCTCGATTCTAACCCCAGTGCTGCAAAAAAGAAAATCTAAGCAGAAGATGAGGTGCTGCATGTATCAATCAGTTGAGTCTAATCATTTTACATTATAAGCACATACCAAAACGTCATTGTTCCAAGGAATATACACAATTACTACTGGTCAATTCAAAATAAAATCTGATGACAACAGAAAAAGTCGTGTATAAAGAACATAATATACTCAAGAAAGAACCCTTTGAAAATTTTTGATGCATTTCTCCCCTCATTTGGCTTGGGTCCTTGCGTGTGAGGAGAAGAAATGTCAATCCCCTGGTTTTCTCTGCTGCAGCAGCAAAGAGCAGCAAAGTACCTACCTGACAGGCAGCCCCAGAGCGACAGGCTCGAGCTGGGCAGACTCCTCACCAGGCAAGCAGCAGCAGAGTCAGGCCTGCCACCAACAGATGTGTTCCAGGCAGAGAACAAATCATGATTTTCCCCCGCCAACACGCCCTCCACCTTGAACTCCAGTTTCTTCCAACTATGGCATGAGCCTAGATTGCGTTACAAGATACAAAGTCAGTTTCACCCCGTGATTCCAGAAGTAACAGAGTCCTGGGACTCATATAAAAAAAAAAAGTGTCCACTTTCAGCAAGAGAGAAGCCATCCTTTGCTTAACCATGGATTCTGGTCGAGGTCCAAGGGGTCAGAAGTCCCTGGAGTATGCCAGAAAGTCTAGAGGGTGCATCTGAGAACAGCAGCTGTGCCGGGGGTTGAGGAGGCTTATGTGTATGAGCATATGCTCAGTTTAGCATGCGTGTGTGGCTCTGGATTAAATTCCCAATATCAGGAAAGAAAAGGAGAGGAGGAAATAGCAAATAGAACAAATCAAGTGAGCTTAGCAAAGGACTAGTTTTAAAGAACATCTAACCAGACATGATGGCAGTGCATGGTTTGATACGTTTCAGGGTAAATTGTGTTGGAGTAGTGACAGCAGGAAGTGTGTTACTTCCCTGTGCTGCTGCTTCTGAGGAACTGTCACCTCAGTGATAGGGTGTTTACCTAGCATACTCAAGGCCCTGATTCTACCCCCTGGAGTCCAAAACCTAAAATTAAATATATAAAAATAAGATCGGAAACATGATGTTCGGAAGGGAGGCCACTGAAAAAAGTAGAATGGGATTCGATTCTTTACAAAGATCAAAGAAATACATGTTTTTCTTCCATTGCCAAAGATCATCCCCCAACCTGGCATACATACCTAGGAGGGCATGATCTGTTACGATCT